TGCTGAAGACCTCAGTGCCCCTGTGAGCTCATCCCAGGGCCATGTCGTGCCTGTTTCTGGTTGCTGTTCCCTGTGGCCTTTCCACTTGTGAATGGTGGGACCGTGTGCTAGGAGACTCAGCCTCGGTGCCTTCTGCTGGACCTCAGCTCCCTGCCACCCCTCGGGAGTGGGGCCTTTTCCACCCTTTCCTTGTGCGCCCATTTTGCGTGTGTCATTTCCGCATGCCCTTGCCTGATTAGTGCGTGTGGCTGCCGAGATGCTGGGCTTCCTTTTGCAGACTCACTCGCGTGTGACATGCTGGGGCTGCTTCGCCCCTGTGACAGGGCAGCCACTGCTCTCTTGTCGGCCGAGAAGTGCTCGCCTCTCACAGCACAGTCCCTGCACCGGCACTAGTGCAGCGAGGTCTCTGGCTCTCAGGGCAGGACAGCATCTGGCCAAGGGGCTACTCAATAGATATTTTGCTCATGAGTAGGTTTATTTTTACGGCTTTGTCTGGAGTTCCCTATTCGCTGTACTATGGTTGTGCTTCTTAGGGTCTCTGCTGTGCTGTTGATTTGCTTGAGTGTCATAAAAATAGGGCTGGCCATATAGCTCAGCGGATTAAAGCACCTGCTTAAGCAGGCACAGCTGCCAGGGTACCATCCCGGGTGTGCTGTTCCGGCCCCACCCTCAGGGTGCACTGAGATGGCGATTGAGACTGGGCGTGGTGGGGCGCGCCCGTAATCCCAGCTCTTAGGAGGCTGAACAGAGGTGGATCACTCTGAGTCCGATCTATGTAGTAAGACCCTACAGACCCTGTCCTAAAGTACAAGAAAATAGGTATATAAACGTTGTATGGAAAGTCGGCTTCGCTGCCCTCCTACTCCGGTGCCTCTTGTAGGGCTACGGTCCCTGGATTTGGCTTGCATGGAATGCTGTGTCTCATGGTCAGTGCTGTCCGTACCCACCAGCAGCCCCGCATCCCTGGGCTCTGTGCTCACTGGGGCTCTGGTCCTCCTGCGGTGGTGGTGGTGGCACGAGGGTCTGTCGGGCGCGAGCGCTCACCTGCTGGATGTCAGTTGGCTTCTTTTTTTTTGTCTTTTTGAGACAGGATCTTGCTGTGCAGTTCAGGCTGGCCTTAAGCTCTCTTTGTAGCCCAGGCTGGTCTCAAACTTGCAGCAGTCCTCCTGCCTCAGCCTCTGGAGTGCTGGGACTACGGGCGCGTGCCACCAGGCCCTGCAGCTTCTTCTTGAGTGCTGGCTGACGCCAGTCCGCTTGTCTCCTGGCACTCGCTTGCGAGTGCCTGCCCTCAGCCGGACTCTCTGCCTTTTCTCTGGGTCACTGTCTGTAGCAGTCTCCTTTGGGCTCTGATGGGGACTCCTGTCTGCAGGGCAGCGAGCGTCCTGGGCCTTGCAGGCGGTGCAGGTGCCGCCTGCCGCCCTCTACCTTTCCGACTTCTAGGTGCCTTCCCGTGTGGACTGACTTGTGTCCACCAGCTCACGGCGCAGCTCCAGGGAGGTCATGAGGGCGAATGAGGCCACGAGGGGGCCAGCCCGCCCTCCGGTCCGAGAACAGGAAGGGCGCTGGCTCGCTCGCTGCGCGGGAGGCCGTGTGAAGGCGCAGCTAGAAGCCGTTCCGCCTACCAGGCCTCAGCCGGGAGCTGATCCCCGCCGGTGCGTGGGCCGCCCACCCCCGCTGCCCACTGCGCCTCCCCGTGCCCACGGTGCTCGCTCCAGCCTATGTGAATCGGTACCGCCAGTGTCTGTTTCTTCCTTGGAAGTGCTTTTCAGATTCTTTTAAAATCAGGCTGGCTTGTCTGTTTTCCTTACTTCTCTTCTATCCTTTCAGTCATCCGCTTTAAGCACTGCATGGTTGGGAGACAGAGACACGGAAGAGAGGCGCCCGCCCCTTGTTCGATGCCCCTAGGAGGGGCGTGGCTTCGCAGGCAGCCGACCCCTCCCCCGGACAGGAGCGCTTGCCTTGGTGACCCTCCACCGCTGCTTCCCTTCAGCGCTGCGCTGTCAGCTGCTGCATTCCCACTCTGCAGCAGCAGCGGGGAAGCCGCGCTGGCGTGGTGGGGCACAGGGAGGCTCAGCCGTGCAGACCCCAGCCGCCTGTACCAGGCAGTGTGGTTGAGTTCGGACCCTTCAGGCTCACCTTCCCACCTCTCCAGCCAAGGCTGCTCTGTAAGCCACACGCGCCTCCCGCGTCTGCTTCCCGCGTCTCGCCTGCAGCAGGGGGACCTCCTCTGCACCAGCACTCTGCCGGGTCTGGTGGCACAAATGCCGCTGCGGCAGAGCCTCCCTCAGCACTCCCGGAAACCTGCTCAGGGTCACTTTCTCCAGGAGTGCGCTCAGAAGGTCCTGTAAATCTCGATTCTTACCAGAGTGCGGAGGATGGAGTGGATCGCTTTAGAAAAGAGCTAGGAGCACGAGGGGCTGCCAGCAGGAAGCACTGCAGAGGCCAGCAGCCAGCAAAGACCAGTGACAGAGACCAGCTCCCGCAGAGATGACTGGGAACAGAGGCTGGCCTTAGCTGGCGGCAGCCGGCAGCCGTCCAGGTCTAGCGTCAGCTGGCGGCAGCCGGCAGCCGCAGCGTCAGCCATCCAGGTCCAGTGTCAGCGGCGGCAGCTGGTGGCTGGTAGCCTCCAAGGGCAGAGCCTGGAGCTGCATAATGAGGGTGGAGGGCCGTTATGCTCCATGCCCAGCCACCGCCTTATCTCAGTTGAGCAGAAGGCCTTCCGCTGACTGGCGACAGTTGGGGAGTGAGGAATTTAACCTTGTTCATGCATGGGGTTCTGGCTGTGCCCCTGCCTGGGAGGGCAGCTCTGAGCCCCCGCATGCCCTGCAGACAGTGTCTGTACTTACAGCATTGAGAAGAAACGCACCATTGTGCCCACACTGGCCGACGCCGTCCAGCGGCAGGACGGCAGGGAGGTGGACTGGGAGTACTTCTACAGTCTGCTGTTCACCTCTGCAAACCTGAAGCTGGTGCACATTGCCTGCCACAAGAAGACCACCCACAAGCTCGAGTGTGACCCCCGCAGGATCTACAGGCGCCAGCCAGGGACGCGGAGGCGGCGGCCTGCTCGAAAGTGCCCATGACCCGCGTGGCTGACTTCGCCGTGCAAATGGGTGCTGTTCTTCGTCACCCCAGCAGTTCCTGGGAAACACCCTGCAGCTCTTTCCTGCAGACCTGGCTCATGGTCAGCCCTGAGCCTGTCCTCCGCTTTGAGAACCCAGCCTCCATCAAACGCGGCGGGTGCTTGCAGACACTTGCAGGTCCTGGTCGTGTGCTCGGGTCTTCTGCGCCAAGTTGGCCTGTGTGGTGCATCTTGGGAGGTTTTCTGTCCCTGCCGCCCCCGAGGGGGACCTGGCCTTGGCTCTCTTCACACGAATGGCAGCTTGGACTCTGGACTTCTGAAAGCCACAGAGGGGTGTGGCTGTGTGTAAAGTGTTTACATTTCATAAAAAATACCAGGTAGACGCTGAATTTATAAAATGCAGAAAGTAGGGAAGCTGCCACGTCTCCGTAGGGAATTGCTGCGTCAAGCTGTGTGACTGCTGCTTCTGTAGGTCAGTAATGGTTGGGTGTCACTGGCTTTACGATGCCACCCGGTCCATGCACACGGTGTGAAGCGGCAGTGCTGGAAGCGCCCTGAGGTGCTGGTGCGCAGGAACAGTGCCACTGAAGGCACTGGTGGCCTGGGTTGCAGTGTCACCTGCTGGCTTGCTGGGTAGGCATGGTCTGGGGAGACACCCCAAATGCACAGGGCAGTACTCCTGGGGATGTGGTGGGCAGTGCACAGCACGGGATTTATTTCTTGTGCCATGTGTTTGTAATACCTGAGCTCTTTAAATGATCATTATGTAGCAATATTTTATAATGTACTTTGCAAAATGCTATATTTTGTGATATTTGAATTTTTTTACCCTTGATAAATCAGAGAAAAAAATAAAACTTTTCTAAGACAGACAAGTCCACAAAGCATGTGCTCAGTGAGGGGGTGCACACAAGGCCAGAGAGCTCTGGCAGGTCACCCAGGGCTTCTGTCTCCTTTAGTTACACAGTGGTGACCGAGGCAGAGCCAGCCGCGTGGGCTTTCTCAGCTGGTGTGGCAGCGGTACCTGTGGCTCGTCAGGGAGGCAGTACTGGGTATGGTGCGCCCAGAGCCCTCGCACAGGACTCGCTGGGGCTCGGCCTGCAGCTGTGCCTCGTGCTGGGCGGAAGCCTCTGCAGTGAAGTCTGCGGAGCGAGCTGCCCTGCTCCCAGGCTCCGCGCTCATGCTTCTCCTGTCTCTCACCTGAGCGCCCCAAGGGCAGCCTCCCTCCTCACCCCGACACAGCCCACCTCGCTCCAGCTCTGTCCTGAGGTAGCCCTCCACAGCCAGCACTGGTGTGCGTGATGCAGGGCCTGAGTGGCAGCAGCGCGTCCGGGTCTGGCGAGCCCCAGCACGTAGATCACACGGAGGTGGCTGCCCTTCCCTTCAGCCTGGCTGCTGGGGCAGCGGGGGCCACGAGCCTTGGGCACAGGAAAGCGGCTGGGACCCTCCCGCTGCCGAGGCCCCATGACTTGCCCGACAGATTTGAGAGGAGTGGAGCCTGACGAGGCTTGGCTGCACATGCTGAGGTCCCTCTTGAGGGCTGCAGGCAAGGGGGACAAGACCCCAGGGAGTCGTCCTGCGGGCTGGTGGGCTGTGTGCCCTGGAGGGTGGGGTCTGGGAGCCAGGAAGCACAAGCATCTGGGGCAGAGGGGCCCTTGTGCCACAGGTCCTGCCTCAGGCGGGGTGCAGGTGAGCTTGCAGCGGGCCACTCCTCCCCGTGGCAGGCTCTGGACAGCAAGGCTGCAGCGAGCGAGAACTGCGGCTTTGGAAGAAGCACACCACAGCTAGCCGCTGTGGCCCTGGCCAGCCTGCCGAGAGTGACGGGGCTCTCGGAGCAGCTGACACGGGCAGCGGCCCCTCCCAGTTCAGGGAGTAAAGGCATGCTGGGCCTTGGCAAATACCATGCTGCAGGTGGCGAGCAAAGGGTTGTGAAGCCAGTGTCTCACAGGGGTCCTGCTTCAGACTAAGGCGGGCAGGGGCAGGTTTTAATTCCTAGGTGCATGGAACCACTGGAAGGACCTAGGGGTGGACCTGACTGAGCCCTAAACGCTGACGCTCCAGGGAAGGGGGCCGAGTCTGTTCACCTGAGGCCGAGGCCCTGCACTGCCGGTCTGACCTAGGGGAGGGCTGCAGCCTGAGCAGCCACCGGCCTCATGGGAGACCTGCAGGGACACTGGACACCACAGCCTGGCCGGCTCCTCCCACCACAGAGAGGTGCTTTGCCTGCGCCACCTGGGCCCAGGGCAAGTCTGCCCCCTTCCACGCGACACTCCAGGCCTCCCCCATCTCTACCTCACTGCCAAGAGAACCCACGTGGGTTTCTCTGGTCTGCTCCCACATGGTGCCATCGCCTCCCTGGGTGTGGAGGGTGGAGTGACCCATGGTGGGACCTGCCCAGGACTGAGGTGTGTAGGGCAGGTGACCAGGACAGTGCTCCTCCAGGCAAGGTGTGAATGGCGGCCCAGGATGGGACACGTGTTCCTTTGTGGGATCAGGGACACAGCCCTTCTGCAGCCACACCGTGATTCAGGACACTGCCGCCGCTGGAGTGCGTGGAATGACCAATTATCCACTCTGGCCACTCCTCCGCCTCTCCAGAGAGGCTGCCTGAATCATTACTCATGCCACGGAAACCTGCACGTTATTTTCTCTCGCCATCAGAAAATGACTTTACAGCCAACACTTTCAAATGCTAGTTCATCAATCAATAAATCACAGAATTATTCTGAGCAGGTGAAGGTCACGGCTAATGGGAAAATGATCACCATGGAAGCGAAATGACTGCAGGAAAATTACTTGTGCGGGGAGGGGGCAGGCTTTGAACTGGGAAGCGATGAAAAATTTCATACAGGGCAGGCACCTGAGGTGCACCTTCCTCTGTGTTCGGTGCCGTATCAATAAGAGTCTATCAGTTGTGGGTCAGCTCTCAGTGTTTATTGTGTACAGCGCAATTGGATCTAACAAGATCCTCCACCCTCATCTATCTTCCTCTTCTCTCTCTTCGGGGGTAGAGTCACAAACTTATATAAGGTTTGGGCAGCCAATCAAGTTAAAGCAAGGATCATAAGCTGATAGGTCAGAATCATCATTATCCAGGCAGACATACATTTTACAAGGTTGTTTACGCGGTAACAAGAACCCGAAAGCAGGAAACAGGCGCGATCTTAGGGGAGCGGTCGGGACAGCTCCCAACATCTCCCCCTTTTTTATTAATTTTGACACACAAATCACACGGGCTCCTTTCGAGGGCATTCACACGTGGGCTGGGTAGAGGGAATATAGGGGTCTATACCCTGCTGTGCGCCATTCCCTTTGAGGGCATATCTTTGGCCGAAGACCATGCCGGGAATGGGGTGCTCATTTTTTGCAGGGCCAGGCATTGTAGAGCGGAACCTGGATGTATGTAGACATATATTTTTATCATCTTTTTTGGCATCACCAGGCTGATGATACTGCAGTACCCTTGGTCTCGCACCTCGGAACCCGCATACACGTTTTGCCCTATTTTTGGGGAAAGGAAAGGAGCCCATGGGTGCATTTAGCCAATTTAAACCTGCTGTTTAGCCATTTGCAGCAGGTAGGCCGCCATCGGTCCCCCTGTTGGGCCTTGCTCCGTAAGTTGCATAGCTGCCAATGCTGTGAGTTTAATTTGCTGTTGGGTTTGCATGAGGCGGTCAAACAAACATCTCAACATTATCAGACCCGCTACCACCGCAATAAAAATAAGAATCCAGGTGGTTAAGCGAGGCCACGAGAACCAAGAGGTGACACGGTCCCATAGCCCTGCCAAGGTCGCCCCTAGATTATTGAGCAATGAGAGGTCGAGGGTGATCGGTTTTAGATTGATTTTGTCCATACGATCTAGAGCCCCAAACACCTCTGCTGATACGTTCTTACAGGTAGGGAGGTAGGTGTTCTGAAGCCAATCATTTAGTTTTTCGTCGTGTTAGAAAGATTGGTTCTAGCAGGGTCACACAGAGACGGGCGAACAGCCATCTCTGGTCGCATAGTTGTGTGACCACATTCCATAAGTTACCAATTTCCTGCCCGATTTTGTCAATTTTTTTCTGGATTTTCAATATTGTTTGACTATTGAGTTTAATAAGAAGCTCTTGTTTTCTCAAGGTGAAGGCGGTTTTGTTGGCGAGAGCATTCACCGCATCTATGGTCAGAGCAATCTGGTTCATGGTCCATGCTTGTAAGACAGCGTGACCTACAGCCGGGACAAAGACAGAAGCAGCAACTCCGAGAACATTAACGAGCCAATCCTTAACATTTCTAGCATGCCTGGCAGGCAGTTGAGAGGCTGAAATTTGCTGGACTGCCGGCCCCACCCAAGACTCTGTTTTCACCGGCACCCAAAGAAAGCTTGGGTGATACACCAGAACCGCAAAGGGTGGGTATCCGTTTCAGCAGTTAGAAAGGTTGTACAGAGATTTTGTCTCATTGTATTGCTGAAAATCGGACGTGGCGGCAAGCAAAAATAGGAAAGGAGGGTTTACGCACACATAATTGTGGAGAGGAATACTATCGTTCTGCTCGTTTGTGCTTGTAGAAGTATTATAGAGGGTACCATTGAGCGTCAGAAACGGTCTGAGATCGAGGCAGGCCTTCAACGGGTTACAGACCTGATGCCCCATGAATACTTGGGGCCCATTAAAGGCCCGATCATCACAGTTCCCAGTGTAGTTATAATAGGAATTATAATTGGAGCATCGACTGCTGACAGTATTCTTAAGGTCTTATCCACCCATAACTGCCAGTCTCCTCCCGTAAGGGAGAAGGGAGTCGCAGTGGGTAAGCAGTGGCGCCAAAAAAGATTGTGGGTGATATTTCCTCCCGACAGGGCGGGATGATGGAGGGGGGTACAGGGATCCATCCAAGGGTGTTCCAACGGGTATGCAGACCGATTACAGTCGTTGAGACCAATGGAGGGCCATTTTACCTCCATCCGCAAACAGCGAGTGGCATTCCCTTGGGGAGTTATGGATGTCAAACACTCTCTGCGTGTCCAATTGAGGAAGTTTATGAATGGTCGAGATGCATTATAAAGCCCATAAGACCCCGCGCAGGTGAAGTTTGCAAAGGAGAAGACAAGAGTGTCGTCCTCTACTGGAAAGGAAGCATTAAAAGGGAAAGAGCTTAAGATCACCTGTTTATAGGGGAGCATGATGGAGGAGTCATTGGGCACAAAGACTGTAGGGGCACTGGGGGATAGAGCGGAAAAGGGAGCCAGGGTAGGGGGGTGTCTCCAAAGCCCCCACAAATATGTGGTTGAGTTGGACTGCGCTATAATGGGAAGGCACACCCACAGCAGGCAGAGGGTGAGACTACTTATCCATTTCTTCTGACGTTGTTGGGCCCGTATCCCGTGGCAGGCCATCCTAGTCTTTCTGTATTGGCAGTGAAGGATTTACTGTCCGTGTCAGTCGTTCAGGAATCCACAAGGGCTCGTGACCTGGTTCCTGTGGAAAAACACACACCGCACCTCGGGTCCAGCTGACCACTGGGTCCGGGCCCATCCATTGCCCTGTAAGAACATCTTTCCATTTTACCAACCCTTTATCAGGAGGAGATGGATTACAATGTTCTGCAGCAGGGGAGTGATTATCCTGGTTGAGATTTAAAAAATTAATAGTGAATAATGCAAGAGATAGCCTCTTTTTTGGTGACAGGCCATGGCCTACTCCTTCTTTTTGTTTTTGTAGAACATCCTTGAGTGTTCTATGAGATCTTTCGATTATACCTTGTCCCTGAGGGTTATAAGGTATGCCATGTTTTAGAGTAACCTCCATTTGCTGGCAAAATGTCAAAAATGTCCTGCTGGTGTAAGCAGGGC